TGGAATTAAGAAAATATGTGAACTCCAATTGCAATCTGTTTATAGTGCGGCTGCACGTGACTAGCTGTGTTACTCAATGAGCAAGGCTGAACAGAACTTGGGTCTGGCTTTCTTTAAAGCTACGGGGCTACAGTGGTAGCTGAGGAACGTGTAAATATGCGTATATGATATCAGAGTTCTGGCTGCCAGAGCTGATCATTAAGTTTGTATCCAGTGGGAGCCTTCAATAATCTTGTATTGTGCAAAGTCTAACTATGATGTACTATCTCAGGTTGTTGTAGTTTTCTAGTGGTTTGAATTTTTTTTCTTTTGCCTGCCATGCAGCTTCTGAACAGGAAATTTGGGGCATGGATTAAGCTCATCTTTATTTAGAGAAATGGAACTATGATTAGATCTAGACTAAAAAACCCTCTAAACATCTTGTTGTGCGTCTCCTTGAAAGCCCAGGCCACTTTATAGGGTTTTATGCTGACTTGCTAGCAGCATGCCATAATTCTGAGAAGAGTTTTACACTGATATGATTCCATTAATCCCCTCCCCCCCCATAACATTTAAACAGGTTTTCATTTAAACATTTATTTTGGTCCTAAACATCCAACACTCCGGTCATCTGAAGTGGGCTGTGTCTCCTGCCCAAGCTCATGATGCCATCTACATTTTTTGTTACCCTGCCCAAGCTCAGGATGCCATCTACATTTTTTGTTAGTCTATAAAGTGCTACCAGACTATGTGTTGTTTTTTCAGTTTACCTGTACAGACTAACTCGGCTACCCCCTGAAGCATTTAAACAGGTGTGAATGAGTCTAGAATAAGGCAGAAGCTGATCTCTAAGTGGAGCTGAAGTGAAAGGTCAGAGTTTCATTTGATGCAATCAAAATGCTACTTCCCTTTGCCCTAGTTCCCCTAATTTAAGAAGAGGGAGGGAGTAATATTGTTTCTGGCTCCAAAGTTGGAGTGGGGGGAATAATAATGGAAAATAATATTGTGTAAAGATACGTAGGGAAAATCTGTGTTTTATATCTGCTTTGCATGTATGAATGAGCATATCCACAGACCATGTTTGCGGATGGGATGAGGATTCAAAATTTATATCCAAGCAGGCTGGTCAGTGTTAACTCTACTCTTTAGTGGCAGTGATACCCATGAACTCATTCAAACTTTAAAAACAAGTAGTCCTATGGCACTTTACATATCTATATAAACATTAATTTCTATTTTAATAACATTTATATAGTGAGATAATAATCACATGCTTTTATGGGCAAAACCCACTTCAGGTGAGATGATCTTGAGGGTTGATCTTAAAGTTACAGACTAACATGGCCTCTTTTGAGACTCATTCAAACTTACATTTCTTGCTATTGTTAATCTTTGAAGGCTGTAGTATGCTTATATGGTGATTGACTCTTTTTTGAGGAGGGGATGTTTAAAGATAAAATAGCCATTCCAAATACAACATTAATATGTGAGGTTAATGACAGGAAATAATAAGATTGGAGAGAAATATGTCTGTACTGAAACAGTTGTTTATTTTAAATCATGTCTTCATGATGCTTCTATACATAAATATTTATTTACTGTCAAAAAATGCTTGTGTTAAAATGTCCATGACACAGGTGGGAACAGAAGATAGAGAAAGCTTCCTTTGTTACCTAAGCACTTTTGGAAATTTTTCCCAGCATCTAAGTCCCATTTTCAAATGTAACTTAACTTATAAGTTTCATTGAAAGACAATAGTGCTAAAATCCAAAGTCATATGGGACTTAGGTTCCTAAATTCTTTGTGTGGTTTGGAAAACGTCTGAAAATTTGGGGAGAGGGAACAGGGGGGAGGAACATGGGTATGTATACGTACACGCAGTGGCTTTCTGAAGGACTAGAACTTGAGTGCATGTGCAAGTTCAGTTTTTATTAACTGCATTAAAGATTTCCTCCTTTTAAAATTTCTCCTTAACTCTTGGTATGCCCTAACTGTATTCCTTCATAAAGATGGACCCACCTCAGTCTGGGTACTGTTTGAACATCTCCCTTCCTACTATCTCAATATATTTATGTAATTGCATCTTTTAAAGTCCAAAGATCTAATCATAAATGCACTGATTTTTCACTATTTCAACATATACATTTTATATCCTTATTTAGTCTTACTCTCATTGGTATTTAGTTTGAGATAAGATCCTTGTTACAGACAAGTGATTTATGACATAATTCCATCTATAACTGATGAGGCAAACTGCATGGAGGACTGTCAGTTAAAACTCAACCCATGCCTGTTTTGCCTAACTATGAAAAACCTCACGGTAGTACTTACAGAGGAAAATGTTTGCCCTGGTGTAGGTCTAAATATGCCCTATTGTGAAGTTGTACCGTGTGCTATACACTGTTAAGCTTCTGCTTGCTGCCTGGCAGGTGGCTGCATTTCCTGTGTATGCATGAAGCCTGTGAATCAGTCAGAGAGCTCTCAGTATAAGGAACTCATGAATGTAAAATATTCTTGAGAAGTTAAATACCAATGCACAATTTTGGACTACAGCATTGAAGAAAGATGTGAACAGTGTTACCACATGTTACCCAAAGAATCAGAGCTTACAGGTCTACCCAAACCAAATATCCATAGAGCCCTGCCAATCCGTGGATATCTACTTTATATCAGCGGAAACTGATATAAAGTAGATATATAGAAAGGAAACTCAATTTGGGAGAGTTTGGATTTTGCATCTTAAGGCCTCATCCTTATAGGAAATTAAAGTTCCCTTTATGCATCACAGATCATGATTAGAGCTGGCTAAAAATTTTCCAGCACAACCCTTACCTGTGAGAAAATGCTGATTTGATGTGTGCCAGCACTTTTGATGGAAACCTCATAAGCCAGAAAGCAGATCGTCCTGTCTGGGCTGCCTCTACTCCTGAAGAAGGCCCTCTGGGGCCTGACACCCTATGACTCCAGATCTGAGGGGAGTTGGGCATCTTGGAAAGGCAGCTGTCCAAGGAGTGGGAGAAGGCTGAAAAAAAATCCCTTTCCGTTCTCTTAAAATGGAACCTCAGAATATTCCCACCTGTGAAAAATTTTAAATCTTTGATTTTTTTTTTTTTTATCTGGAGTTAGGATGAAATTATTTGTCTAGCCTACTGAAATTTCTCACAGGAGAATAATTCCATTTTCCATCCATCTCTAATCTTAGTCCTGTAAGCAGCGAGGAGGATGGAGAACATAAACAGCTATTTCATTTTCTGGAAAGGTGTATATGCTTTCAATACTTGTGTCCTGGTCCAAACAGATGCACTCCCAAAATACCCACCATAGTGAAATGCATTAGCAGAAATAACTTATTCCTTAGGCAATGCTTGAGGAATGAAAGAGGCATGTTCTGCATTTTCCCACATTCCATTTGGGGCAGGGAGCAACTATATATCCCATACAAACGAGTCACTCTTTAGCTCACTGACTTCTTACAGTTGATGGCCCTAACCTTGCATACAGATCCATTTTGGTGGATCTCTAATTATTTCAGTGATGCTTTTTATAGTGCAACTATCTGGCCATATGGATCTACTTGTGTAATCAGAACTTGCATATCTTAATTGTATAGTAATAATTTTGCACAGAATTATATATGAATAAAGTTTAGACTAGATGCATATACTTGTACTGCATAATACTATACTAGGCTGTGAGTCTAAATAGAAAATATCCATGAGATCCTCTTTTAGTTACAGTAGCACATAAAAATCAAGGACATATCTGTAGTTTAAATGATACTCCTTTTAAGGGTGTTTTGTTTGATTTTACTACAACAATCTTTGTATTTTTTTTAAAGCAGGTGTTGGATGCATTTATTTGATTTCTGAAAACTCTCAGAGCACTAGACAGCATTAAAAAAGAGCGATCAGTTTTGCATTAATTGTAGAAGCGTGTGGCTTTGTGAGAGCAACGGATGTAAACAAACCCTGCCATCAAAGAGGTTCGTGTCACCCGAAACTCTCTAATGTTGTGTTTTTTGTAGAAACAAGTAAGACAATACTTATGATATTTGATCAAGGTTTTTAAAACACTATCAGACCTGTTTTTTCCCCTCTCACATTTACACACACAACTAGCATATCTGGCCAAGCTTCCATTTAAGAGAAGCTGGGCTTTCTGACACATAGGGGGGATAACGCTCTGTGAATCTATATCACCCTCATTACCATAGTATTTGAGCACCCCCCAATCTTTACTGTATTTTTCCTCTCAACAACCTATGAAGTGGTATTTATCCCCATTTTATAGAGAAGTAACCAAAGCACAGGGAGGCTAAGGACTTGTCTATACTGCCACTTTACTGCCCTGTAACTTTCTTCTCTCAGGGTGTGAAAGAATACCTCCCTTTTGAGTGCAGCAAGTTAACGCTGTACAGCACCAGTCTAAAAGGGTTCTCAGCGCTGTTAGCTACTCCCCTATGGAAGTGGTTTACCTACTGTGCTGGGAGAGCTCTCCTCCCATGCTGCCGCCATAACCACACTGCTGCATTAAAGCACTGCTGCAACTGCATTTTAAACTTAGCAGTATATTATAGACAAAGGCTAAGTCATCACGCAGGAAGTTTGTGACAGGATGTAGAACTGAATCCAGGCCTCTCAAGTCCTAGACTAGTGCCCAAACCGCTGAACCATTCTGGTGTTTTCCTAAATAATAATAATTAAACTTGCTCATTTCCAGATGCTGCCAGAAAATCTGAATTATCAAAAAAGGGGAGTAATAATGTAAAGCTTGCTAGTCAGATGGTCATTATTGTAACTTTGCTCCAGTAACTGAAGGCCCTTCCACCTACGTGGCTGCTCCTTCCAGGTTGCAGTGCCCCCTTCCCTCAGCTGGCCTCTCCGGGCTGGAGCAGCCCTCCACCCAACACAGGTAAGGGGCTGCTCTCGCCCTTGCTGGTTAACAGGTTCTTAAGAGGTGATGGTGATGCTTACCAGTTACGTTCCCATTCCTTTTGTGAGCGCCAGGCCTCCCTGCTCAAATAGCTGCACTGGCTTCCCACTAAAGAAGCAATCCCACTGATACTCAGCCCCCTCCATCAGGCTGCTCCTAGGTTCCTGAAGCAGTATGCTCACAATGACCTGTGTCTAGGGAGCTGTCTGTAAGAGAAACTGCCTGTATGCTCCATGTGCCCTAGCAATACAGTTTACAATCAGCAGAGACACTAGCCGGTGAACTTTGTATAGCTACCCAAAGTAGATATTGCAGTGGGATCGAACACTGTCACCCACCTGTCTCTTCCCACTTTGCACTCCCATGATCAGACAGATGAGTTGTTGGTCTCTTGTGGAAGAAAGTTATAAATTTTATTTACCATGCAGGCATATGTTATTGCCAGCCCTTATGCTAGAAGAGCTGTTGCTTGGTCTAGCAACCTTCAAAGATAAAATCAATATGAAGAAAAATGTCTTAACCAGTATTCTTTGACAACTCCCAAGATACAATTAAGTTTTCTGCCAGAGCTATTTCCTCAAATGCTATATTGCACAAGAAGCTCTGGCTCAGGATACAGAAGGCAGATAGCCAAGTACAGCAGCTTCTGTCTGCCTTTCTATTTTCCACAGAAAGAAAGCTCTTCAGGGAACAATAACTGAGTCAAATGGAGAGAAATACTCAGTGCTTTCTCACAGACAAGGTGTAAAAAGCCAGAGGCCTCTACAGATACTTTGTCCTTTTTCCATTGACAGAACAGTGGGAGACTTTCACCTGAGGGAAGAAGATACACAGGTGACAATTGCCTGTCTGTCTACTTCCAGCATAGAATTTTACTATCTCCTTATCATAGCGGTGTTGTGTTGCTTAATGACAGGATGATTGTTTGTTCCCTATTGCCTCCAGCCTATTGTTCAAGGGTAAACCTAGCTGAAAGGAGTATCCAGGACTCTCAATGGCTTTCCTCTCTTTCTGCATGTGTGTGTGATTGACTGTAACACCACTTGGTTGTCCCAGTACATGAAGGAGGCTACAGTGCAAAAGGGAAGGATGCAGTGCAGTTTACAACCAAAATGTTCTCAAACCAGCATGGAGTTTGCTGATGGATATAGATATGAACATGCACTAATCTGTCGAATCCAGCTTAGAGAGGAAAATTCAATTTAGAGAGGAATCCAGCTGAGAGAAGAAGAAGGTTGCCATCTTCACAGCAGCCAATATGTGGCAATGATGGAGATGGCTGAGAAATTGTAGGAGCAGTCACTATAACAGACTGATTCCCAGGGTAATGTGAAAATGGGAGAGAAGATGGGTAAAATGCCAGAGGTGGAAATCTTGTACCAAATCTGATGGCAACATAAAAAAACCCTCTGCACTCTTATTTCTTAGAGAAATGTTTGGTTTGTCTCTGCAAAGTCCTGGTCAAAGGAACTGTTGCAAATTGCACAGAATCTAATTAAGCCAGACTGTTTACATCCAGCATTAGTCCAATATTTCCTACCATAAGAAGTCTTCACGTTTCCTAGTGGATAAGTTTGCCCAGATCAACTGTCTGTCTCCATGGAAGCAGACCTGTGACTACAGGAGACAAATGTGCAGTCTGTTAAACTCAAGTGGAATGTTTGCTGAGGTGCTAGGAGAGTTTTGAGTAGTCACCTAAGATAGATCTGTGCCATTCCTCTTGGTGAAGGGGGGAGAGAGGAGTGGCTAGGTGGACAGGCAATGCATTAGTTCTGATCTCCACCTGTAACTAGAGAAGAAATGGGAGAGGGGAGTGATGGGGCTAAACAGACAAACTCTCCAATTATTGCCCTGCTTTTAATCTATATTTCTTTCTAAAAAGAGTCATTGAGAAGGTTGAGATCAGGTAGCTAAGTTTCCTTGACCCAGTCCACTTAGTTTTAGGTCAGATTCTGGCACAAAGCTTGCACTTGCAGTGTTGGCTGATCAGGTATCCATACTAATTCTCAGATAGCTCATCTATCTGATCAGCTTCCATCCAACTGTCCCTTTCATAGGTTTCCTTCTCTCTCTATTTACCTAATCAAGAGCTACATATTTTTGGTTATTTCTTTACACAGATTAAAACAGCTTTCATGAAGCACAGCTATAATCCCTCATAACAAAACCGATCCTGATTGGACTGCTAGATGCAGTGCAAAGTGCTGTTAGTGCAGAAAGATACCATTATTAAAAAGGGAGACAGTAGGACTTCCGAATCTCACAACAGACTTGTTTACTAAAATTCTTACAGTATGCTAAGTTTAAAAAAAATTCCTTGACTGTGTAGTCTTAAAAGCACTTGGTACAATTAACCAGTATATGGGGATATAGAAGTGCCATATTCATCAATAGATTTCTTGCATAAGCACAGCTGAATCTGAAAACTTGTCTCACAGTCACATGAAGAGAATCACTTTGGAAAGCAGGTACTTTTCCCAAACACTTTGAAAAAAATGCCACACACTTTCCAGTGGTGTATCTAAGCCAGTGGTCCCCAATGCGATGCCTGCGGGTGCCATGGTTCCCGCTGAATTATCTGGGCTGGCCCCGGGCGCGTGGTGCATGCGCAGCACCAGCTCCGGGTGCATGGTGCATGCACAGCCCCGCACCCAGATGCACAGCACGTGAATGGCCCCACCCCGCATGCACGGCGTCAGCTCCAGGTGCGTGGTGCATGCACAGCCCCGCACCCGGATGCACAGCACGTGAATGGCCCCACCCCCGGGTGCCTGGCAGCCCCAAAAGTTTGGGGACCACTGATCTAAGTTTTTCCTTGCTTGTTTACTGTTGTAAAGATGCTCACAAATGCCTACATTGTGCCTGAGACTGGGTGTTATGGATTTTCATACACCGGGAATATTTGTCAGGCCCTAATATAATGACTGTTAGTGGATTCTGCAGGCAACTGCATTTTTTCCCCTTATTTAACTTGGCAGAAAAGAATTGGAAACTCAGACCTCCAGGCATCTCTTCCTTCCCCTTCTTGATCCTGAACAAAACTTGGGGCATGTCTACGCTTAAAAACTTACAGCCACCATAGTAACTACTGTTCTGGTTTGTGTCCACACTACCCTCCTTCAGTCAGTGGCATGGGATCCTTACCAAGAGCTACTGATCTAATGAACAGGGGCAGGATCTCTGCTCCACTCACTGCTCCCTGTCAGGTGGTGGCCATATTCTTTACTTCAGTAATAGTTCTCTGGCCTTAGACTTTCTGTTGAGGATTCCTGGAAAGTTGCAGTGGTAATATTATGGAGTGAGGGTCCCTCCCCCCTTAAAGTATGCACACACTTCGAAGCAAGATAGAAGGAGTGAGGGTCCCTCCCACCTTAAAGTATGCACACACTTCGAAGCAAGATAGAATCATAATGGCTTACATTCCTAGTCTGTTTTATTTTTAATGGCACAAGAAATTTGTTTTTATTTTTCTCTGGAACTTGACATTAGCCTGTTTTTGGATTAGATGGGGGAATACTGCCTATTAATAATAGATGGTATTTAAGAACTGAGAATTTACACACTAACAACCTCCATAAAGTCAGAATGACCTTACTGCTGTCTGCTAAGGCACTCTGGTGTGAAATGTGACCTGGCTATTATGTGAAATGTTCATCCACTTCACTAAAAAAGTACAATAAGAGGAGCTGTCTATTTTGTTTTGCTGCTTTAAAAGGTGTAAGTCCATGCTTTTTACTGTTTTCATTAGACAAAATTCATTACTTGTTTAAAATAAGAATAATACATTTTCTAATATTGTATAAAAATACTGACATTTCAAAGCAAATAAGTGTGTACATTGCTATGGTTTAAAGATATTGCTGCAGAGTGAGAATACATCAAATACTCTGCTTCAAGAGTCTCCTTCCTTTCCCTCACAGATATAATCACAACAACAAAACACCAGTAGTGAATAAAAGCAACCCACTTGTGCTAATGTCTTCAAATCCCTTCTCTGTCATTTGAAGAGCCATTTCAAATATGCATACCCCACACATTGCTATACCTGTCAGGAAACAGTCAATCCTAGGCTTATCGTGTTCTGAGACTGCTAACTATGTTACTGAGAAGGGCTGACAGAGCAAAACAGTGGTGTTCAGAAGATCTAGTAAAAGAGAGAGGAATAGCTGGGGGGATGGGAGGAGAGTACAACTCAAATATACCCATCAACTGTAGCAGCTTCTCTCGGCTATGTTTATATTTGGCTCAAGTGAGTTGTTTCTGTAATGAGAGAATTAGCCTGCTAGCATTGCTCTCAAAAGGATTGAAGCTATGCAGACCATTAGCGTCTGCTAGAAAAGAATAGAACGTCAACTATATTTAGCACTGTATACATGTGCAATAACTAGCTGAGCCCCAATTTTAGTATCCCTGAATTCTTTAAGCTTTGAACTTGCTCCTTTGTCACATGTAAAATTGTCATATCTTTAAACCGTTCCAATATACAACTGAAATTGTATCCTTCAAAAATCAGATTTGGGCTTTTGTATGATTAGGCCAGAGCACTAAGTATTTTAAATTACACAAAGATAAATTTATTCCATCCACTCAGATATACCATTGACCTACTTAATTTCCTGTTTTTTCACGCTTAGTCCAAATATAGCCTGGGTTCTGCTTGGTGCCGTGAATGTTTCAATAGTATTCACTCTGAATCACTGTCAATTGTAATACACTTGTGTGTCTCCACTTACGCTAGTCAAATGGTTTTAATCTTAGAGTTTTATATCGCAGTCAGATAAGTTAAACATCTAAGCTCTGTAGCGTTCACCTCAGACAACAAGACAGCTCAGAATAAATAGATTCTCTTCCTTTTAAATGCTGAGTGCTGAACATCTTTATGTATTTTATATGGTGTTAGCAGCACAACTGCAGCTGTGTGACAAACCACATCCTTATCTGGTAAAGACAGGGTGCCAACTGTCACAGTCAAAGGTGAA